TCTTGAGAATTGACAACTAATCTCAGCAAAATTCAAAAAATATGTATGGCACATATAACAAACCGGAGCAATAAATGGTCGAAAGGGCCAGGAAAGAGGAAGGTTGGTGAGAGGAGCAGAGAAAAGAAATTGTGTCGAAAAGCAACCCGATTTGGTGGTGTAAAAGATGTCCAATGTATACAGTCGTATAAGATAAACAGATTTTCCACCAACCCTCTGATCTCTCTTTTACTACAATTTTGAAGTATCTAGAGTCAAAGACACCCTTTAAGAGTGACCATCCCCTCAAAGACCTAGAGTAAACATTGAAGGGAGGTTGGAAAGGTGCGTCGGCTGTAGCGAGTAGTGGGGACTGCACACAAACAACCCAACCGGGTAGCTTCGGATGTGAGACAAGTTGGTACAGCAGAACTTGTCTCAGCTTGATAGAGCCTGCATGTGCCTGCTTCCATATGGCCACAGTACATATTATATCGTATTATACAGCACCACAAAGCATTTATGCTTCAGGCACCAAAATGACTAGCACCGGCCCTGCACACAGGTCATTTTAAGCAGAATTAATGACGTAAGTCTCAATATATTCTGTACAAATACCCATATTGTTCAATAATGGAAAACATGCCATTTAATAAAACACACACATTTCAAGCCACCTGACTTCTGAAACATATGAAAGAGCCTTTTTTAAGTGGCATGTAAACTATACCCATGTTTGGACTTCCTGAATGGGGTGGTCCATGTGTCGCCTGCAGCGTCTTGTCAGTGGTGAGTGTGACTGTGTGTGGGAGCGTGTATGTGACAATGCGTGCTTCAAACTTTAGTAGAACAACTGAGTGTTTGTAGCTTACACAGGGGTGGAAATGAAGAAATGCGTGTAGAAATGTAATGTATGTGCGTGCCACTGTCACCATGCACACTGAGCGGGTGAGAGCAGTGCGCGATTGCTCACACGCGCAGCTTTAAGGAATATTGGTTGGTACTACACATTCTCCCATTTGCATATATGCTTTGTCTACTTAAGTGAAATGGCCAATTTTATTTCATGTAGGATTTCATCAAGATGTCAAATGGGATTAGTTTTGTTGCTCACAAAAAGGAAAATAATTTAACAGGCTAAAACAACATGTAAACATACCCGTCTGGTGTAAATGATCATTTTGAATGTGTGAATTGTGGTGCGTCATGGCACAATGGAAGTTCCAAAAGTCCAGATACTTTTTCAAAAAAGGTGCGAAAGTATTTGCTGCAAATAATAAGGCGCTAAAATTAGTGTGGGTGGATGTGCTTTGCATGCATGAAACTCTCAGAGAAAGGCAAATTGTTGGACATAATGGAAACGTTCTGAAACTTGCCGTCAAATCTAAAGTAGAGCAAATCACATCAGATGTGGTCATGAACTGATGTGATTAAAATTTATATTTCACTTTTAATGAGCTCGATAGACTAAGTAAGTTATTCGTGGCAATTTGTCTGTTTCGCAAAATCGTCATTTTTGATTTGCGTCCGCTTCCCTTTTTGAATGTTGATCCAAGTACAAGGGGAATGACTCATATAGGCCGCAGAGGACCAAAGCCCAACGGGGAATAGCTGAAGCGGACTCTCAATCTCAACAACATGCCAACCTGCTTTCTAAAAGCGCAATGTGCCAATATTTGGCTTTGTTGCACTAATGAACCTCAAGGACTGAGGGCTTTGTCTTTTTATTTGCCTCATTTTGGACGCAAGTACTGAATGCCAAGCAGAAGGTCCTCTCCAATTGTATTTTGTCGTGATTGTGATATGATTGAGGATACAGATTGTCATCCAAAAGCAGTGTTGGAAACAAATGAGTTACTGTTTTTGTTTAACTCTTTTGTTAACTTTTCATGGACAACTACCTGAGAGATGCGGAAGGGTCTCACATAGATGATATTCAAGAGTTGAGAGAGAATTTGACTACTGGTTAAAAAGTTTCACCATTGATGTGAGATGTTTGCGAGAATGGCAAGTATTATTTGTTGTTGTTATACCTCCACCATTTTCAGACTACAGTATTTCATGCACAGTGAGAGTCATGGATCCGGTAGTACATCCTGCAGTGCAGTACCAGCAGCAGCAGCAGTAGGTGACCTCCATGTGACCTTTGGCTATTGTTCTTGGGTGTGTGTGTGTGTGTGTGTGTTAAGTACAAATGTGTGTTATTAGCAGACATGGGATGAAGATAAATATCTAAATGTACTGTATATACCGGTATCGTTCTGTGTCTTGCACCGGACGAGATGTCACTCCAGAGGTCCGTTACCAACCAGACCCTGCCCAGTGGTTGCGTGCTTCCACCAAGATTCAGTCCATCGGAGCAGGTCCGTTTTGGAGGCAGGACGAACAGCTGTCAGTCATATCATCAGAGGCATTCTGTGCATATGCATTGTTTCTAGTTTCAGAAAAGGCAAACAAAAAAAGAATGGTCTATACCTGTTCCTGGATGGGGGTGAGAGGATGGTCTGGACTGTCTATTCTCCCAAAATAACTTGAGGTCACACATTTGTTTAATGACACCACATTTGCAAATAAGTTGCTAGCTGTGCAGTTAGCAAATGTAGCATTGTGATTGTGTGTGCCATGTCCAGTCTCTTGTAATAAGAAGGCACTGTCTTCCTATTGGTCACTGCCAAAGAACCGATCAAAGAACGACGTTGTCATGATTCGGTTTGGGACCAACAGGTGGCACTGTAGGGCTCTCCCTGCAGCTGCACACCTGTTGGTCATTAGGTAATTAGTGGCTTTAAAAGGACTCCCAGCCCAAACAATCATTGTCGGATCATTGTTGCTTTTTGCTGCTGTCATGTTTGTTTGTCAGTCATGTTTAGGTCATGTTTTTGGTCATGTTTTTGTTATTGATGGTTTTGAGCTTCAGTCTGGTTTTTGTTTGATACTTTGGACTTTGTTTGTTTAGGATTTAGTTTTCTGTGTTTTATCAATACACTTCTTCAAATACACCCTGCTCCTCCCTCTTGCCTGCTTTTTGGGTCCACCACCACCTCGCTGCGTGACAGACGTAAGACAGACCTTTGGCATTGTGGTCGTGAACTGTCCCAGATGCCGTATGACCAGTGGTTGAATATGTCACACTACACGGGCTATGACACGTCAAGACTGATTACTACTTTCCATTCTCTTCCCTGTGATTCTATTTTCCATTCTCTTCCCTCACTATTTGCACACTCTTCAATTTTCAAAGGTTTAATCCGATTGATTGCGACACATAGCACCTTTGAAAGAATGATGCTCTCTCAGTATATTGACTGAAAGTGTTTTGTTGTCCCCAAAATACCTTGAAATGTAATGTGGACACACATTTGATTGACAGACACTTAAAACAGAGAATGTAGTTGTATTGGTTGGATATAATTCAGTGTTTTTTTTTTCCATAGCTGTAACAGTTTCAGGTAAATTTTTCTTGCTGTCATTAATGATTTTCCACTGTTTGCCCACAAGTCATCTGTTACAAACAGTAACTCTGAGACGCAGCATGTCATGCAGGAGATGATATGACATTACTTAAAACATGTTTTTATGGCTTTCTCAGACCCCAAATATCAACTACTTTCCCCAGTTTCTCTTTTCTTACTGGGAGCTCTTGCTGTCAGTGACTGCTCGTTGTATGTGAGGGGTTGTTGATGTGTCATGCTTCTGACTGTACAATCATCCATCCATCTATCCATTTTCTACGGCTCATCCAGGGCCGGGTCGCAAGGGTAACAGCTTTGGCAGGGAACCACTCTGGCCAGCCACTCCTCCAGGTTGTCCCGGGGAATCCAAAGGCATTCCCAGGCCAGCTGGGAGACATAGTCTCTTCAGCATGTCCTGAGTCGTCCCTTGGGCTTCCTGCCGGTGGGACATGCCTGAAACATCTCACCAGGGTGGCGTCCAGGAGGCATCCTAATCAGTTACCCGAGCCACCTCATCTGGCTCTGATCAGGTCTCCGTTCCTCCCAATCACGTCCTTCCAGGTCTCACTCATTGTCCACGTGAACATTGAGGTCCCCTAGCAGAATGAGAGAGTCCCCAGAGAGAGCACTCTCCAGCACACCAAGGACTCCAAAAAGGGTGGGTACTCTGAACTGCTATTTGCTGCATAGGCACAAACAGCAGTCAGGTACCAACCCCCCCACCTGAAGGTGGAGGTAGGCTACCCTGTCGTCCATCTGTGTAAACATCAATGTACAGGCATTGAGTTGGTGGGGGGAGCAATGAGCATGCCCACACCTGCTCTACGCCTCTCATCATGGGCAACTCCAGAGTGGAAGAGAGTCCAACCCCTCTCGAGAGAGCTGGTACCAGAGTCCAGGCAAGTCCGACTATGACAAGCCGGAACCTCTGTGCCTCACACACCAGCTCGGGATCCTTCCCTGCCACAGAGGTGACTTTCCATGTTCCTAGAGCTTGCTTCTGCAGCCGGGGATCGCACCCGACCCCTTTGGCCCCTGCCATAGGTAGTCAGCCATTGGGAAGGGGGACCCACGTTGCCTCTTCGGGACGAGCCGGGCCGGGCCCCATGAGCGTAGGCCCGGCCACCAGGCGCTCACCAGCGGGCCCCATTTCCAGGACTGGCTCCAGAGGGGAGCCCCGCTGACCCGCATCCGGGAAAGGGAAAAAGCTGTCCAATGTTTTCGTCATCAGAGTCGCTGAGCCGTGCTTTGTCTGGTCTCTCACGTAGGATCTGTTTGCCATGGGTGACCCTACTTGGGGCATAAAGCCCCAGACAACTTAACTCCTAGGACCATTGGGACACACAAACCCCTCCACCACGGTAAGGTGACGGCTCATTGGAGGGGCTGTACAATCATGATTTTAATGATTATTTTTATTATTTTCAATAAAAGTAGCATTTGTATTACACTAACCAGATTGGCATCTCTTTGTTTCCAGTTGAATGTGTTCCTGTAAGGGTTTCCCTCAACTCCCTTGTACATATTTCTAAATTTCATCCAGCACTCACTAAAGATTTTATGTCCTAGGGGCATCCAGCAGCAGCTTTCCAGCTACAGGGAGACGGTGATCAGGCAGGCCACAGCTGCAGCAGGCTCAGCGGTTCACCGAGACGATGCTCCAACCTGTGGCATCTGCCAGAAGACCAAGTTTGCAGATGGTTGTGGGAACTTGTGCTCATATTGCCAGACCAAGTTCTGTGCCCGCTGCGGGGGGAGGGTCTCGCTTCGATCCAATACGGTGAGATACAAAGAGTGCATTTTATTGCTTCTATTTTCCAGGAAAGTCTCACATCAAACAGTCAAACAATGCCAAAGTGATTTTCTTTTCTGCCATGTCACAAAAAACAAACAAACAAAAAAAAACCCACACATTTTATGCAGTGACACAACACAAAACTTCCTCAATGCCACAAATACAAAAAAAAAGACTATTCTTGAAGTTTCATATGTAAAGAAACAAACAGGTTATTGTTTCCATATTGTAAATACAAGACATCTGTAATTAATTGTCCCGTGTAACACAGCAATTTGCTTGTGTCAGTATGTATTATTGCCTGCCAGTCTGCAAAGCAATTAACTTTCAGTTGAGACAACTCCTTGTATGAAATAGCTCGATAAATGTGCGCTGTACCCCCACCACAGCTTTATAGACCCGCCATTCTTCCTGTTGCTATCAATATATTGAAACCAGCCAAAATTCTTGCCAAATAATGAAAAGCTTTATTAAGATAAAGGGATTAAACGTCTCTAGCCTTTGGAGTGACTCGGTGTGAACACCACAACAGCCCAATTTGAAACATACTCTTATTTTTGCACACCAAAATTGAGAAAATAATATGGTTAAGGCCACACCAACACCATCACTCATGTCGAATGAATATTAGTGAAAATTGTTTTTCCGACACTAAGTATTGTTGTTTCCGCCAATTACCTGGATTTCATTAGACTCTGCCATTGTACCCAAAGAAGTGGCCAGCAAGCTCGTGTCAAACTGCAACATTACACACATCCATTACATTAACATTGTCAATACATTTTCCGTTAAGTTATTCTTTATTTAGAATAAATAAATGAATAAAAATACTGATGAAAAATTTTGTGCAAACAATATATTGCAGCAAACACATCAAACCCTTCCTCCATCACAGCATCAACCCACCTGAACTCACTCAGTTGCCGTAACATGTACTGTATATGAGCTTATATGATACAATATATTTCATATAGTCATACTGTTTGTTTACGTGTGATCCCACCACAGTGTCAGTACACTGTGCGACCCAGGCAGAAGCTGCTAAAGGTTAATTGGGCATTACACAGAGCTTTTGATGGAGGGGGTAGTCTCCCACTCTGTCTAGGTCTCCAAGGGGTGCAGTGGTGCCCTATAAACACACAGTGGGGGAGAGGTGTGTGTGTGTGTGTGTGTGTGTGTTAGTGAAGGCGTTACAACATTCACTGAAATAAGTGGTGTGTCCTCTCGATCCCTCCAATATGCTCCTGGTGTGGCATTTAATGATCCCACTCAGACTTAAACACACACCCAAAAGTCTACTCTAATTATTGCCTGCCATGGGGTCCCAGGTGGTTGGATTGGGTGGGCGTCAGGCGGCAGTTTTATTCATTGAGGGAAAAGTTCACTCTTACACACATTTCACTTGTATATTGGTAAGGCTTATGAACCTCACAGAACCACATAGGTGACTTGTACCGTTTTTTGTTGTTTGTTTAAAAGGCTTACTCTTTCTTTAAAAAAAAAAAAAAAAAGTGTCAGGAATCCAACTTTTTATGTGTTGCATTTAAGTGTCCCTGATTTCAGACAGTTCCCTGACTATGATTCTCCCTTTTTTTCATAATACATGTATTGCTTGACTGGGCTGAAGGAGAACAAAGTGGTGAGTATTGACTTTTTTACTGAAGAAAAAAACATGTGTCACATACATATTTAAGTAGATTATAAAATTGTATCCGTTTTCTTGTCATCTTTGGTACTGTGTTTAGAACTTGTTCAGAGCACTTCAATTTTTTTTCATATTTTTTGTTAGGGTTGTCATAACAACAACATTTGTTGAGTCTGGTTGTCATTTAAATGCAGAGGACTTCTTGAGCATTTGATATTTATACCTGCGGCCGACAGCATTTAAGTTGGAATCAGGAGGTATTTGTACGTGTGTGTGTGATAGTGTGAGTGTGTATGTGAGTGTTTAGAGTAGTGTAGACATCTCTGAGACAAATTAAATTAAGCCTTTTTTTAATGAGTAACACAGAATTGCCAAATATTACTGATTGTATTTTGTTACGGATATCACTGAATGTTAAGTCGTTGCAGCCGGAATGCTGATTGTTCCAGTTATTAAAATATAAACAAAAATGCAGCGTCCAACATGAGGACCAATACTAACACAGCAGCATATACTGTGTTGGGCCCCTACGACGTTGGCTACTAAACATTTCACAAATGAAAGAGATGAAATGAACACTGAAAAAATAAAAGAAATAAATAAACTATGAGTGTCCACATTGAACAGGCGGCCAACCCCCCTGCTTTCCGCTGTTCATGAAATTGACGTGTTTAAGTTGGCATCTCTAGTAATCGACAGAGACCAGAACCAGGAACACCCATTGAGAATGTTATTAGAAAAGAGGATTCACTGAAAGAAAAGTTCATTTTGCTGGGTCAAGGAGACTGTAACTTAACAAAAGTATACTATTAGATACGAAATACTGTACAAGTTTTTGTCAGTCAGGTGTCAACTGTCTGTTACCAAAACCACTGAAATGTAAAGGACCTACCACCCTGTTAACTACCTACCTCCTACTGCTACAGTGCTGATCTGTTAAATTGGTTTCCAAACCTCATGTAAGTAAACGACAACACTCTAAAAACTTTGGATGACTAACCTCTCCGGTTGACAGAAATGAATCTAGTGATGACAGGAATGTGTGATTAAATACCCCCCAAAACAGTCTTGCAAATGTATATTGATCCAACTCAGAAATGATGTGCCGCTTTGTGTCACAGTACAAAACGGTAGTAAAAGCCTGAGCAATGTGCCATCTCGTGGTAATGCCACAGCAGCTCATGATGACTATTGATTGCCAGTCTCACGAGTTGCGTCCGCCTCCATGTGCATCTCTCATTGACTGGTCTTAAGGGGGTCATTTTTCTTCTGCTTCTTGCTATCCATTGCCATATGATTGCAATACTCACCTACACAGGGAATCATACAGTTTGGCCTCATTGTGTGGTGCCCATTCATAAATAAATAGATATATACAGGGCGGCCCGGTGGTCCAATGGTTAGCACGTCAACCTCACAGTGCAGAGGTGCTGGGTTCAATTCCAGCTTGGGCTTCCCTGTGTGGAGTTTGCATGTTCTCCCCTGGCCTGCGTGGGTTTTCTCCGGGTACTTTGGTTTCCTCCCACATTCCCAAAAAAAAACATGCATGGCAGGCTGATTGAATACTCGAAATTGTCCCGAGGTGTGAGTGTGAGCGCGGATGGTTGTTCGTCTGTGTGTGCCCTGCGATTGGCTGGCAACTGGTTCAGGGTGTCCCCCGCCTACTGCCCGAAGACAGCCGGGATAGGCTCCAGCACCCACAGCGATCCTTGTGAGGATAAGCGGATCGGAAAATGAATGAATGAATAGATATATATACAGACAACCCAAGGAAAATTTTCAGGATGCTATGTGGACTTTCCAAATAATACCCTGTTTGATACCAACCCAATTCCAATAAATTTGGGATGTCATGTTAACTAATTTCTTGCTCTTTTGAGTCAGCCACGGAAACGCTTATCATTTTGTGATATTTTCAGAGGTTTTAGTGGCCCTAAGTGGAGATGTCCACATACATTTTGGAGCTGATTGAGCCCTGAGGTTTTGGCATTATTAGCAATGTATTTACAATGATTTTGAATGGACAAGTAGTCTTTGGTCCCTCCCGTGATTCCCACCAAGACATGGAGGGAGGGGAGACGGGCTGCGGCCATATTACTTATTTCTATTGGGTGATTTTAAATCACTCTTTTTTTAAAAACTGATTTCTCCAAAACAAATTTAAATAACTATAAATCCAAACGAATCTCATATTCCTAAACAAAATAAAATAAAATAAAAGCTTATTTGTGATAAATGGCCCTTCCTGTTGAATATCGATTCAGAGAATCGGAACTAAACTGTTTTGTTTTCTTTTTTCTTCATGATGCATTTTTGGACTGGTACTATATTGCAGAGCGATTTACAGTCCCCCCAAAAAATATTGTATTGCCAACTTGACCAACAGGATTTACACTATCCATTTCGAACTACCTTCAATACTTTTTTTTTTTTTTTTTTTGTCAAAACCGGTTGTTGTTATTGTCAAGCGGTGTTGTAGGTATCACCTGAAAGTAACTGTTAAATAACTTGCAATTTAACTTTGCTGCTTTTCAAATCAAGTAACCAGTAAAGTAGCTGTTACATTTTCGTAATAACTGTGGTAACACTGTTCATTGATGTGTGAACCATATGATGCACAGCATTTAGAGGAATGATTTGTTTGACTTCCACATAACTGTACTGCGTGGCTGTTTATTAGCCATCAGTGTCTGTAAATGTATACTGTACATGAGTACATGTACAGTATATGTGTGTCTGTGTGTGTTTAGTCTTGCGGGATAGCTGTGGTGTGCTGATGTAGTACCTCATTAGCTGCTGTGGACACTAATATCTTTTGTGGCAGTCTTTCATCCTTAGCTCAGGATTTATAGACGCCCACATTCGCATGCTTGTGCCATACGTCAAGCTGTCATTGGCTGCTACTACTAATATGCATTGCAACTGATCCCACTGATTGTACAAACTTTAACAAGTAATTGGTATTGAAAAATATAGTAATGCACTTTAAGATTAAACGAGATTCATAAAGAAAGGAAGTTTTAAACCATTTACATGTGCATATAAAATCTAAATGTAATCTTACAAACTAAGGAGAGTGCTATTAAATGTGTAAATGTGAGAGTGCTATTGATAGCGTCTGCTGTCATGGGTCTGTCTCAGTGACGGACTGAGGCTGCTGTTGTCTTTTTCTCTGATCAAAACAGTGTCCCCTTGCGGATACTCAATGAATTGCACCTTATTAAAAATATTAATACTGTGTCTTTTATGCATTTTTTTTCACTTTTAAATGATCCTGCGGGCCTGATTGAACCTCCTTGCAGGCCGGTTCCGGCCCGCGGGCCGTATGTTTGACACCCCTGCTCTGCATAATCACCTTGCGGGCCGGATTAAACTCCTTTGCGAGCCGGATCCAGCCCGCGGGCCGTATGTTTGACACCACTGATTTAGAGGAATGATTTGTTTGACTTCCACATAATTGTACTGCGTGGCTGTTTATTAGCCATCAGTGTCTGTAAATGTATACTGTACATGAGTACATGTACAGTATATGTGTGTCTGTGTGTGTTTAGTCTTGCGGGATAGCTGTGGTGTGCTGATGTAGTACCTCATTAGCTGCTGTGGACACTAATCTCTTTTGTGGCAGTCTTTCATCCTTAGCTCAGGATTTATAGACGCCCACATTCGCATGCTTGTGCCATACGTCAAGCTGTCATTGGCTGCTACTACTATCTGTACGTAGTCCTCCACCTCCTTCCTTTTTTTTGACCAAATGTGGATTTTTTTTTTTCGTCACCTGATAAGTGGGAATTATTTTGCGGGTTTTATAGTGATCAGAGGCATTCGTAGCAAATGTAATGTAGCCTGGCAGTGTTGATTGACAGTATGTCTGCTTGAGTGCACGTTGGGTGTTGTTCTTGACTGTGGCGATCAATACAGTAAGAGACGGATTGCGACTTTAGGTAATAGGAACTTGCAGTTTGATCGTTCATACTTTGTAACAACATTGCTGTACCTTATACTGCGGGGATAAAACAAACTGATGTCTGTGTGGTGCAAAACAGGGGAAATGATGAGGTATGGTTAGCTTTCCAGAAGGCAGCAAATGTCCAAACTAGAGAAAGACATGTGACCAATTTTCCAATTTCAGTTAATTACAGTATCAGCAAATTGATTATTTGTCATTTTTTTAAGTCTCTTTCATTTATTTTTTTGTCAACACACCTTTACCTGATAATTGTCGAAACAAATAAAGAAATGTCTTTTCAAACAAAAGAATACAATTAAAGAAAATGGCAAAGAGAACGATTGTGGTAATTAGCAGGTCCCAGCTGTCTTTGGGCCAGAGGTTGGCAATCAGGCGGCGCATGTCGATAATAGGATTGTAACAATTCACTAAAAACAAAATAAATATGTTTTTCTCGATTTCCGATAAAAATGATAAGTGTCGGACCCAAATGCAGGCAAGCAGGGAGGCAAGAAGTGTCAAAAAGAATTGATTCTCTAAAGAATAAAAACAAAGCAAACAAAGCATCTGGAATAATCCAAAGTATGAAATTAACAAAGTCCAACACAAATACGAGATTCAAAGTAACAAATGAAGGGCATGCACTCGTCTTGATTGGCAACATAACAAGCGTACACAACAAATCACCGGAAGAGCAAGTGAATCAGAAGCAACAAACAAAATGAACCAACAAGCACTGAAAGAAACAAGGGAGCTAAATACAAGGAAACTGACGAGACACCAACCAACACCTGGTCAAGATGCCAGTGGTTCAAGGGAACTGATTGACTCACACAAGGACGAGAACTGGTCCAAACAAAGCCTAACGAGCATGACATGAAAGAAGGGACATAAACCATTCATTCATTCATTCATTTTCCGAACCGCTTGATCCTCACTAGGGTCGCGGGGGGTGCTGGAGCCTATCCCAGCCATCTTCGGGCAGTAGGCGGGGGACACCCTGAATTGGTTGCCAGCCAATCGCAGGGCACACAGAGACGAACAACCA